CGTTAACGTTGGATGTGAGAGATCCTTCGGCTTTCGCGGAATTCGTGCTTTCTACGGCAAAGCGTACGACGGTTCTCGCGTTGTGACCCGCGACACGGCGCGTGTGTCCGCTTGTATCCGACTACAATATTGCAGCCGTCAACAAAAAATGTCCCGAATGAAAAAACGTCAGCGGAGAGGGCGGAGCAAGCGCTCGAAGTGGTCCGCAGGTGGATGGAGAGGCGAGAGGCGGAAGAGCGCCGCCCGACGGCTGTTCCGGAAGTCGCGGCAGAAGAAGAGGTAGCGGAAGTGGAGAGCCCAATGTACGAGCCAATGACACCACCGCTACCGATGGAGACCGAGGAAGGGAATGGTGTGGAAGAATGAATTAAGAACATTATATTGAGTTATTGTTTTTTCATCAGTATTATATTATCAAGTGTTTTGTATTAATTTTATTTTTTGGTATTTCATATGAGATTTCGCACGTTTATATTTTGTATTTTTTATTTTATTTTTATTTTTTAATTTTACTTATTTTTTATTTCATTTGCAATCAAGACTAAGTGATATAAGTATTTTAAGTTGATAAATTGAATAAGGTTATCAAATACTTATTAGTTTATATTCTTTATAATATTGTATACTTGAGAATGAATGAATGTGCGCGAATAAAATAAATAAAATAAAATGTAAAAACTCAATGAATATCGTTCCCAAGTGTTTGAAGAAGCCTTTACCTGAAATAGAAAATGATAAAAATATTTATGATGGGAAAAGTAATGACAATTCGGGCGGCCGATAAAAAATAAATATAATCCATGCGTTAGCATTTATTTTAATAATAGTTTGAGCATACATAGTTATTTTACAATTACGAATCAAAAGAAAGGGTTCCGAAAGTAGGGCCAATCCATAAGTCACGTGATCACCTGTAACGAAAAAATACGATCTTAATTAATGATTGTGATCCATGAATTTTATTTTATTTGTATGCCAAAATCAGCGTACATAGTTGTTTCGAAGTTTGATAAGCAAAAATGTAGCATCCGATCACCGGATAAAGCGATCGATCTCGTGACTACCTGTAATCAAAAAGTCCAAGAGTTAATTTGGTACATGAAATAAGTTTAGTTTCAAATATTTATCCACGCGATTAAGTAAAAATAGTCAATTAAAGCGACAGGAAGTATTGTCAAGACGGATAAAAGGAATTAATTATAATTTTAGTAGTTCGACATTGAAATGGTCGAACTATGATAGTTTTGGGAACGTTATTTAGTGAGACGAGCCCAAGCATTGGGTAAAGCGTCGGATTGGTTCGGCGAACCGGCCAATCCGAGAACCAGGAAGCGAGCGTTGAAAGTTTTGTGCGTAGCAAACGCGGAGAAGGGGAAAAGCGACCGACGGTATAAATATCGTTGCCCGGATGGCAACGAGGTCTTTTGTTCCGGTTCCGTTCGCGAGTAAACTTCGCGTAATAAAAGTCCCGCAAAGTATTGCGTAATCCATTAAAAAGTATACCGTGATTCAGCGAGCGTTAAAAACACCAACG